CCCCAAAAAACAAAAGCCAAAACCCCAAAAAATGTGAAACAATTTGCACTAGGAAACAACATTAACATAAAGGCTTACAAGTCTCCGTAGAGGGTGTTGCAACACATCTGACAATACCACCGGTTTTGCCTGGCAATGACACATTCTGGCTCCTGCAACAATTAATCCACACTTTATATTAGCAAACATTGCATACACCAGGAATAAAAATACTCAGGATTACCAAAGTATTAATGGAAGCAACAGTAGTTTTTTACTGCATTCTCATCAACGCATTTAGTCATGAATATACAACCAATACAGATGAAATTCTCAGGCAGTTCGCTCACTAGTAAACTCATCCCAGTCTGTAAATGCTATAAAGGGGGATACTTCGTTCAATAAAGGAAAAAGATAGTCCTCAGCTTCGTGTAAGTCAAAATGAAAACATTGATAAAAACAAAACAAAATGCTCTATCATCAAATTATAGAAAAATAAAGAGTCAAATTCAAGAATCAGTAGAAGTAGATATTTAACCGCACCACCAAAGGTTGTGGTGCAATGGATAGGATCGTTCAGCCCTTAACGAGGGGTATCGGGTTAGAGCCCTGTGAATGGAAAACATCTTGGTATGAGTGTATCTCCCTTTAATGGCCTAACGCGGTGCGGCCCCCAATGTGGGTACCCCACACCAGGTAAGAAACCAACAAAAGAAAGGCATTTTCTCCCTAGGTCTTTGGAGGAAGAAAACAAAGGACAGTCATAAAAATCGTTAACAAAACTTAATTTTCTACCATGAAATAAAGAAAAATGATTAGCTGAAGCTGAAGCAAGTCAGAATGCTCGAAGGTTTAGTGGACTTTCCTTCTCTACTGCTTCGCTAATGCTTAAATATTGAATACTTACCAACAAAAGAGAACCAGCAATGTCGATAACGAAAGCAATTATAAGATTCAAACAAGAACGATATGAATTGAAACTATCCCATCAAAAAAAAATAGAACTGGAACTGAGTTAGGAAATCAAACAAAACATAGGGGATGAAATTTGATACCTGAGACGGAGTTTGTGCTGATCCATTAAAGTAGAAGTTGATGAAGAGATTGAAGTGGAAAGACTTTGCTGAATATGTGCCATTTTTTTCCTGTTAGAACAAATCACGTTATCTCCCTGGGAGTAGAGCACCCCCTCAAAAACCAAAAAGCTGCTTTAAGAAACCTTATTCTTCCAATTTGCAGGAGCGCCCTTGCTCCGTTAACGCACGTTGCTTTTTATTTGTTAAAATTTTAATCTGCTAATTTGATCTTTGCACGTTTAATAAAGTTTAATTATGATTTGTTAAAACCTAATACCTAACTAGCACTTCGACATTTTTAGACTATTGTGACACCTCCTTTTTTACCACCCGAGGGGATTTAAGGGGAGTTTTTCCAATTAAAGTGACATAAATCGAAATGGGATTATTTTATTTATTTTTCAGAGTCGCCACTTGGAATAATTTATGGTGTCCCAAGTCATTAATTTATTTTAAATCCCAAATCGATGACATTTTCGACTTTATTTAAAAGTCTGCGAACCAGAAATTCTAAGTATGGAATTTTGTTAACCCGGGAGAAGGTGTTAGGCATTCCCGGGTTCCGTGGTTCTAGCACAGTCGCTTAAATCATTAATAATTGGCTTATTATCTGATTTACATGTTATAAAATTATTGTGCATTTTTAACTTTATAACCGCTTTTAATTATTTTATGGAATTATTCTGGAACAAGTTATGATTGTCGTACACTTGTTTGTTTGATACACATTACGAACCGCGTCACATGAAATGCACCCGCGATTTACAACATGTTTATTTTTATTATTGTTCGAAATTGTTATGATCGTGTCACATGAAATGAACACCAGAATTTGGGAATTAGGTATCATGACTATGCCACAGGAAGCAACAGTAGTTTTTTTACTGCATTCTCATCAACGCATTTAGTCATGAATATACAACCAAAATATAGATGAGATTCTCAGGCAGTTGGCTCACTAGTAAACTCATCCCAGTCTGTAAATGCTATAAATGGGGATACTCCGTTCAATAAAGGAAAAAGAGAGTCCTCAGCTTCGTGTAAGTCAAAATGAAAACATTAATAAAACCAAAACAAAATGCTCTACCATCAAATTATAAAAAAATAAAGAGTCAAATTCAAGAATCAGTAGAAGTTCATATTTAACCGCACCACCAAAGGTTGTGGTGCAATGGATAGGATCGTTCCGCCTTTAACGATGGGTATCGGGGTAGAGCCCTGTGAATGGAAAACATATTGGTATGAGTGCATCCCCCTTTAATGGCCTAACGGTGCGGCCCCCAATGTGGGTACCCCACACCAGGTAGGAAACTAACAAAAAAAAGACACTTTTCTCCCCAGGTCTTTGAAGGAACAAAACAAAGGTCAGACATAAAAATCGTTAACAAAACCTAATTTTCTACCATAAAATAAAGAAAAATGAATAGCTGAAGCTGAAGAGAGTCGGAATGCTCAAAAGTATAGTGGACCTTCCTTCTCTACTGCTTCGCTAATGCTTAAATATTGAATATTTACCAACAAAAGAGAACCAGAAATGTAGGTAACATAAGCAATTATAAGATTCAAATAAGAATCATATGAATTGAAACTATCCCAACAAAAAATAGAACTGGAACTGAGTTAGGAAATCAAACAAAACGTAGGAGATGAAATTTGGTACCTGAGACTGACCCAATAAAGTAGAAGTTGATGAAGAGATTTAAGTGGAAAGACTTTGCTGAATAGTTGCCATTTTTTTCTGTTAGAACAAACCACGTTATCTCAGTAGAGCATCCCCTCAAAAACCAAAAAGCTGCTTTAAGAAACCCTATTCTTCCAATTTGTAGGAGCTCCCTTGCTCCGTTAACGCACGTTGCTTTTTATTTGTTAAAATTTTAATCTGCTAATTTGATCTTTGCACGATTAACAAAGTTTAATTATGATTTGTTAAAACCTAATACCTAATTTCGAAGTAGGTATTAGGTTTTAACAAATCATAATTAAACTTTGTTAAACGTGCAAAAATCAAATTAGCAGATTAAAATTTTAACAAATAAAAAGCAACGTGCGTTAACGGAGCAAGAGCGCTCCTGCAAATTTGAAGAATAAGGTTTCTTAAAGCAGCTTTTTGGTTTTTTAGGGGGTGCTAAACTCCAGTGAGATAACGTGGTTTGTTCTACAGGAAAAAAATGGTTGTTATTCAGCAAAATCTTTCCACTTTAATCTCTACATCAACTTCTACTTTATTGGGTCAGCACAAACTCCGTCTCAGGTACCAAATTTTATCTCCTACGTTTTGTTTGATTTCCTAACCCACTATTTTTTTTTTGTTGGAATAGTTTCAATTCATATGATTCTTGTTTGAATCTTATAACTGCTTTCGTTATCGACATTGCTGGTTCTCTTTTGCTGGTAAATATTCAATATTTAAGCGGTAGATAAGGAACGTCCACTAAACCTTCGAGCATTCTGACTCGTTTCAGCTTCAGCTATTCATTTTTCTTTATTTCATGGTAGAAAATTATGATTTGTTAACGATTTTTATGTCTGACCTTTGTTTTCTTCCTCCAAAGACTTGGGAAGAAAGTATCTTTTTTTGTTGGTTTCCTACCTGGTGTGGGGTACCCACATTGGGGGCCACACCGCATTAGGCCATTAAAGGGGGATACACTCATACCAAGATGTTTTCCATTCACAGGGCTCTAACCCAATACCCCTCGTTAAGGGCGCAACAATCCTATCCATTGCACCACAATCTTTGGTGGTGCGGTTAAATATCTACTTCTACTGATTCTTGAATTTGACTCTTTATTTTTCTATAATTTGATGGTAGAGCATTTTGTTTTGGTTTTTATTAATGCTTTTCATTTTGACTTACACGAAGCTAAGCACTCTCTTTTTCCTTTATTGAACGAAGTATCCTCCATTTATAACATTTACAGACTGGATGAGTTTACTAGTGAGCGAACTGCCTGAGAATCTCACTTGTATTGGTTGTATATTCATGACTAAATACATTGATGAGAATGCAGTAAAAAACTATTGTTGCTTCCATTAATACTTTGGTAATCCTGAATATTTTCATTCCTAGTGTATGCAATGTTTGCTAATATAAAGTGTGGATTAATTGTTGCAGGAGCCAGAATTAAGGTTGTATTGTGGGCCGGGTGGGCTAAACGGGCCTGGCAAAACGATCTCGGGCTCTGGTGGGCCAGTCTCTGGCGGTCCCGGGCCAAACGGTCCCGGGCTTAGCGGTCCTGGAGGGTGGAACCAACCCACTACGGACCTAAGCCCACATGGTCCCGAGCTAAATGGGTCGGGCCCACGGGCCTAAGTGTTTCGGGCTATTTTTTTTTGAAATTTTTTTATATAAAGCAATTTCTTGTAATATATATATATACATACATATATATACACTATATAAATTGCTTATATGTATATATATATACATACTATATATATACATGCCTTACATATACTATATAAGCTGCTTATATATATACATATACACTATATATATACACTATATAAATTGCTTATATGTATATATATGTATACATACTATATATATACATATATATATAAGCAATTTATATAAGCTACATATATATATATATATATATATATATAATTTCAAAGAAATTATCTTACATATACTATATAAATTGCTTATATGTATGTATATATAATGGGTCGGCCGCACAGGCCTAATGGTTCCGGCTATTTTTTTTGAAATTTTTTATATAAAACAATTTCTTGTAAATAATATATATATATATATATATATATATATATATAATTTTCAAGAAATTGCCTTACATATACTATATAAATTGCTTATATATATGTATATATACATATATATATATACACTATATAAATTGCTTATATGTATATATATATATATATTACATACTATATATATACATATATATATACGTACATATATATAAGCAATTTATATAAGCTATTTATATAGTATAATATATATATATATATATATATATATATATATACTATATAAATTGCTTATATGTATGTATATATATATATATATATAGATACTATATATATATATAAGGTTGATTTGAGACAATTTGTGTTATTTTAAAATTATTAGACGTATTATGCTTAATGTTCTAGTTTGTTAGATTAGTTTGAAGTATTATGTTGAAGGCATTGAACTTTAGTTTGAAGTATTATGTTGAAGGCATTGAACTTTAGTTTGAAGTATTAAATGTAAACTTTAATTTGCAGCTTTGATACCGAGTTCATCTTATATGCCTCCTTAAAGAGCATGTGCCCTCCTTTGGACGACGAGTGTAGACTCGACCACAGTTCTTGTACTTTATTATGTAAACTTCTTCATTTTCTTCTACCACATTAAAGTGTTCCAAAACAAATGGGTACAATCTAGAATCATCGGGCTTGATTTAACTTAAATTAAGAATTTGAGTTAGAGAAATGAGAGAGATTGATGATTTTGTGAGTAAAAATAAAAGAATGAGGGGGTATTTATAGTTGAGAATAGGGAAAAGGTGTAATTATAAAAAATTTGGGGTTAAAACAAAGTTTGGGAGCCAAATGGCTATTTTTTAAAAAGCCAAACGGCTAAAATGGCAGGCTAACGACTAGTTTTTAAACGTTTAACCGTTGGCCTTTTTTTAAAAAAAAAATCTGTTGGGCCCGTTGGGTCCGGTTGAACCGACTCAGGCCCGCATGCCGGTTCCGGGCTAAACGGTTCTGGGCTCGCGGTCTATTTTGAGAGGACCGGCCCACAATGGGCTTTTAGGACCATTAAGGACCGGCCCATTTGAACCGGCCGATGAGAAGCAAAGTGAAGAGTCAAAACAATTGCTACGTGACGTTTTTAAAATAATTGTACAAAAATTGTTTGTTGAACATTGCTCGGAATAAATTGGAGGCATTTTTTTTGTGCTCATGCAATAAAAGATTAATTTAGATGATATAGCAGCATTGTGGAATTACGATGAGACAACGAGCAGATTTAGTTCCCTGAAGCAAAATTATTTGCTTTTTAAGCTGGATTTTGGTTGGTTGATTTTATACCGCCATTACCCCTCTATGCTTCCATCTTGAAATAGGGGAAAGAAGACACTTTATAATAATATATTAAAATTTATTTTGTTGACATTCTCTCCTACTTAATAGGAGTTAAGTTATAAACAATCTCTATTTGGTGAAGTTAGATCACAAGAAGGAGATCTGCATACATGTTGAAACACCCTGATGCTCAAATTATAAGCCTTGGAATTGGTGACACTAGTGAGCCCATTCCTGAATTCATAAGTTCTGCCATGGCTAATAGCCTTGTTTGTGAATTTTGTAAAGATAGGATACAGTTTCTGATGTTTAGGGGTCATTTGACATCTCTATAATGCTGTAGTGTTTTGTTATTAGTCAAACTTCGTTTTTTGCTGTATTTCGTATCCTGTTCTGTTGACCGATGATAGGACTACTAGAAAAAGTCATGTATCAGGTAACGTTTGGTTCTATAATGAACATGTTTCTGGATATTTGTGTTGATAGAATTCAGCACGCCTACATGGACTACCATTTAACTTGACAAGTAGTTTGTATTCTTAATCTATTCTGCTTATTGAACTCTAAGTCAATAACCAACTTCCTGTCAACATTAAAGGGTTGCAGTGGTTATGGTGCTGAGCAAGGAGAATAATAAGTGGTGGATTTCATCCCCCCCAATACCCTCTATTTTTGTAATATGATATTAGGTCTATTGTTTATCGTCCATTTCTTAATTCTGTTCCATTTTTTGCTACAAGAATAAATGGTATTTTGCATGTGCGCTGATAGTTTGTCTTTCCTTTATTTATCTGGTTCATTTTGTATATTCTTTCCTCAAATGCATTACTATCTTCTTTGCCCGGTGGTCCACGCGTTAGAGTGAAAACTTCCTCTTTTGGCATAACTAGTTTCTCTACACGAGTATTCCATGTCAATTAGTACAAACTTTTTGAAATATTATATAATACTCCCTCCGTTTCAATTTATGTGAACCCATTTGACTGGGCACGAAGTTTAAGAAAAGAGAGAAAGACTTTTGAACTTGTGTAAAATGAGGCACATATATTTTGTGTGGCTATAAATCATTGCATAAAGGTAAATTGTTTCCAAATAAGGAAAGGGGTCATTCTTTTTGGCACGGACCAAAAAGGAAATAGGTTCACATAAATTGAAACGGAGGGAGTATTAAAATATATGTATAATGAGTACCATAAAATTTAAAGGAAAAAATTACAAGCTCAAATTGTTATGCAATCTGCATATTTGAATGACTTAATTATTGACCGCTAAATGATTAGATGCACGTGTATTCCTATCATGTCAAGCAATATAATTTTTTTTTTTAAAACGATACAAAATAAAGCAAAAAAATGTAAACGTAAAATGAAGAAATGTCTAAGCTGTATGGTGTTGGATACATAGATGTGTTTTGTAATTAATTATTCCCCATTTCAATGTCGCAAAGAACTTGACAATTATCAAAGCAATATAATCATCTTTTCACACAATTCTGTACTAAACCCATACATCACCATTTCGAGGCTATATCACATTTTGACGTTATTATTTTACATCAGAGAGACTACATGTTTCCGCTTTCTCCACACAGGCATTTTTCAAGCACCCTTGCAAAGGGAGTACTAATTCAGTTGAAATTCTTGTAAGTAAAAAACAGCTTGGACAGCCATATTTCTTAAGATGACAGTGTATAAACTCACACTTAAAACAAGGGACCAAACAAAGATTTTCTAGCCTCAGCAAGCCCCAAAAAGGCTAAATAACAAATTGATATCAAGTTTAGCATCCCGCACACTATGCTCTTCATTTATGAAATCAAATTATTACTACAATACACAGAATCCAAACAACAATGAAAGATGAAGGAAAATAGTCATGACTTCATATTAAACCAGATCTGGAAAAATACAGAGGTAAGAGGACATACTTACTTGGACTAGGATTGACCTATTTGTAAGGAAAATCAGCTAAACCAAACCAAACCCAGATCTGAAACTCTGGACAGCAGACTGGCAGATCCGAACAACGAGTAGCAGCAATTTTTCAACCACAGCTTCTTCTTTTCTTTTTTTTCTTTTTTTTCTTTTTTTTGAAATTTTCAGATTTGAGAATCCCTTTTGAATTTCGAAAATTCGTTTTTCTTTTTTTCTTTTTTTAGGCGTGTGTGAGTCGATTAAATCAGAGAGAAAACGGGAAGGGATAGAATGTGTGTTCTCTGTTGAAAAAAAAAGAAAAAAAGGGGGGAGGTCCGATTTCTTCTGTTGTTGGTGTTGCTTTGGTGGAGGAAAACGACAGATCTCTTGGGAGCTAAGGTGGACGGCTCTGTTATGGGTCTGTTGGTTTTGTTTTCATGAAGGAGAAAGGGGCGCTCAAAGTTGCGCAGCTTTTCTTCTATGGGAGGGAAAGGGATCTTCCTTCTGATTATATTAGGTCTATAGTCTATCAATTAAAAGGGTAGGGGTTTTGGGTCAGCCTGGTCGGGTCTTTTTTTTGGGCTGGTTAGGAAAAGTTGGGCCTGATTTGGGTATAAGAACTAGCCCAATATCTAATTAAACCTTTTCTTCAATTTCTTTTTACTTATTTCCTTTTCCTTTCCTCCTTTTTTTTTAAATTAAGAATCCTAAATTAATTTAAATTGTAAGATTAAACCAATTTGCTTTGTAGCATTCTTCTTGATTTCATGTTGTTCCTATTTTTCATATTTGTTTCATATTATTTCGGTGGTGTTACTAATATTGTCTTCTTTTGTCTTTTTGTCTTCTTGAGCCGAGGGTCTTTCGGAAAGAGTCTCTCTACTCCTTCAGGGTAGAGGTAAGGTCTGCATACACACTAACCTCCCCAGACCCCACTAGTGGAATTTCACTAGGTCATTGTTGTTGTTGTAGTTGTTGTTGTTGTACTTGATCCTAAATTAAAAGAGAAAAAAATCAATAATCTAAAAATTAAAAGGTAAAAAATGTAAAATGAGCCCTTTTTAAAGTTTAATAAAATAAATAATAACTAATTAATCCTAAAACTATAAAAACAAAAATCTAAATGCAATGCATGGTATTTTTTGACATTTTCAAGATTTAAATAAAAATTAAACGTGCACAAAAATGCAAACAATTACTAAAATCCTATAAAATGGCAAATAATTGGAAAAAAATCTATTTTCTTGGATTTTATAGGAGTAATTCGTATATAGCAAAAATCACATACTTACAACTATAATATAATTAAAAAAAAAAGGGTCAACCAAGCCCCTATAACTCAGTGGCAGAGGGTGAGTCTTGTAAACTGAAGGTCCTTAGCTCGATCCTGAGTGGGGGCAAATTATTTACTTCTGGTCGTTTTGTCATTTTTCTGTTTGTTGTGTTGTTGTTCCCACCTAAGGGAAGGGATCTTCCTTCTGATTATATTAGGTCTCTAGGTCTATCAATTAAAAGGGTAGGGATTTTGGGTCAGCCGGGTCGGGTCTGATTTTTTGGGCTGGGTAAGAAAAGTTGGGCTTAATTTGGGTACAAGAAATAGCCCAATATCCAATTAAACCTTTTCTTCAATTTCTTTTTTCTTATTTCCTTTTCTTTTCCTCTTTTTTTTTAAATTAAGAATCCTAAATTAATCTAAATTGCAAAATTAAACCAATTTGCTTTGTAGCATTCTTCTTGATTTCATGTTGTTCCTATTTTTTATATTTGTTTCATATTATTTCGGTGGTGTTGCTAATATTATCTTCTTTTGTCTTTTTGTCTTCTTGAGTCGAGGTTCTTTCGAAAATAGCATATTTACTCCTTCGGAGTAGGGGTAAGGTCTACGTAAACACTACCCTCCCCAGACCCCACTAGTAGGATTTCCTTGGGTCATTGTTGTTGTTGTTGTTGTTGTACTTGATCCTAAATTAAAAGAGAAAAAATCAATAATCTAAAAATTATAAGGTAAAAAATGTAAAATGAGCCATTTTTTTATTTAAAACTTTAATAAAATAAATAATTAACTAATTAATCCTAAAACTATAAAAATAAAAATCTAAATGTATGCATGGTATTTTTTGACATTTTCATGATTTAAATAACAATTAAACGTGCACAAAAATGCAAACAATTACTAAAATCCTATAAAATGGCAAATAATTGGAAAAAATATATTTTTTTGAATTTTATAGGAGTAATTTGTATATGGAAAAAATCGCATGCTCACAACTATAATGTAATAAAAAAAAAAGCGGTCAACCAAGCCCCTATAGCTCAGTGGTAGAGCGTTAGTGTAGTAAACTGAAGGTCAGTAGTTCGATCCTGTGTGGGGGCAAATTATTTACTTCTTGTCGTTTTGTCATTTTTCTATTTGTTGTGTTGCTGTTCCCACCTAAATTTTCAATTGTAAAGAGACAAATTTTTTGCCTTTACTACCATCAAGACTTACACTAGTTGTGCGGTATTTAGTACCAGGGGCGTCAATGGTTCGATTCTACCTGTTACTTTATAAACTTTATATCATATTATTCTATTTTATATAACCAAAAGTAGATTTTTCGAAACCGTCTCAATCATATCGATTTCTCTTCGGTATCAGTACGGTTAATTTTCGGTATTTTTTTAAATGTCATATAAAAGTCACTACTAGAAGTAGAATGCAATAACAAATATACTTTTATAAAACTTTTCAAACATAAAAGATGGCATAATATAGATCCATCAACTACAACAGCATAAAAGAAACTAAGCAAAAATAAAGAAAATATAAATTCGACGAGTAAAAAGATACGAACTAGCTGGGACTAAAGAAGTCTACAGAAAATTAAATATTCAAAAAGATAAATCTAAATCATACAAAAGGAAACATATTCAATACACTATAGTTTGCTACTCATAATCGCTAGAATACATTGTGTCTTGCTAGTGAATATGCTGGAAATAATTTAGTTTCAATAGGATTAGCATAATAGGTTTGGGGTATTAGGATTCGAGTTTAATTACTTGTTGGCTTGTAATATTTTTCATAATTCCAAGTCCCAAGGAAAATGTCACGACCCAAATTGTAGGGCTGCGACAGGCATCCAGTGCTTTACTCAATCGAGTACCAACGTAACGTATCTTTCTTATCATGTCATCATAGGTAAATGGGCAAGAAGGGCTGTCATGAGATAACCAAAATAAAACATAAGGGAATACTCGATATAGGACGACCCAACATGATATACAAACTTATACATGTGACATATGGGCTTATAAGACTAACATGATCATTTGTACACTCAAAACATAGGCCGACAAGGGCCATACAAAATTTTATATACATGACATTTGTCTACAAGTCTCTAAGAGTACATAATCGTCATAAAGGTTGAAAACATTATGATTTGAGTAAGAAATGAGAAATTTTGTTTTAGGGTTTTAGAGAGAGAAACAGGTTTCTTCCATTATCTGTACAGCAAAAATGAATTAACCGACTTACAAGGTCTGTTCTCAGAGTATTTATATTTGGTCCTTCAGCGTTTTACAAAATAGCCTAATCATTAAAATGGCCCAAATAGCCAACTTGACAAATTAAATAAAAGATACATTACAAAATGGCTAATACAATGCAAATGACTAACTATTTATGTTTAGGCTTATTAGACAAATAGTCCATTAGCTCAACCCCCCCCCCCCCCCCC